GAATGTTAAAAAAACTATAATCCTAAACCATAAGGTGAGAGGAAAGGGTTAGCATTTCATATTTAGCCCTGAAAGTATGCTCAGTTCTACACATGTAGGTGCTGTAAAGTCATGGAAAATTCTCTTTAGTTCATGAACAAGTCATGGAAAAGTTTTGAAGTTTTGTCAGTGTAAAAGAGTGGGAACCCATTATAGATAGGTTTCAGCTGAAGTTTAGTCCTTTAGCTTTAAAATTCACAATAATAATCCTGTCCTGGACCTGATGTGTCTTTGAAGATATTTAACTCCAGTTTTATTTCAGATGTCACTTCTTCAATGGCGCAAACTCATGTCTCCTCAGGTCCCACCTCCGGCCTGTAGTTGATATTCAGCCCGGCCTCCATCTCTGGTCAAATGTCACTGAGTTTGGCGCCATGACAACAGACACCCACATGTCCAGACAGTACAATGACAAGCTTATTTATGTGTGACGTGGACTGGCCCAGGACTAGACCAGGACTAACCAGAGCGGTGGGATGTTTTAGCTTAGACAATACAATAACAAACATCATGCCATAAATCTTCTGTTGTTGTGTTAGTAACTTTATCTTCTCTTTACGTCTCATTTCAGCTTCTTAAGAACACACGCCATGTTACCGCATAGCATTCTTGTGTCAATATTCAAATTAATCTAAATGTGAGGATTAGTTTATCACCGGTTTCATGCATCTAGAAGTTGCAAAAGTTTTGTAATGTGATTTTAATAGACTAACATAAGTCATAGTGGGAGCACTTTTTTAAACTTAACTTCTTCTCAGGAAAGGATCTCTTGCATAATGACATTGCATGTTGTTATTTTCTTTTCTGCTGTTATATAATACTTTTAAATTCACTTAACAAACACAAATTACAAAGTGCACTATGTCATTGTCATCCGTCTCTATGTGTGTTTGTGGGGGGGTGGTATTGCTTTACCTGGAATCTTACAGTATTGTATGTAAGGTATTAGACTTATCTATGTTTATGTATCTATTTATTCAATTATACGGTGTTTCTATTGCTAAAAATACCTTGAAGAATTTGTTTTCTTACTGTAAGCAGGGTCTTCGGTCTGCAGATCTGACCTGTATCCTGATCTGGTGGAATCATCTGCTTGTTTTCTGCATTTTAAAGCCACACTTACAACATTTTAAAATGCACTATCAAGCAGTTGTTGGATCCCCAGTAGAAAAGTCTCATAGAGCTCCTTTAAAGGAACAGTCCAGAATTTTGGACATAGGGCCTCATTTCTTAGTGAGCCAGAGTGTTGGAGACGTGTAGGAACACTTCTTTAAATATTCCATCCAGTCCTTGCTAGCACATGTCAATGGCCATAGTTAGCCTGCCATGAAAAACGGTCTTACCCACTCCACAAAGCACCCGAAACAAATCTATTATTATGCCAGACTGTCGATGTAAATGTCTGTGTTGATGGAATAATTTTAAAAGTTAAACAAACCTTGCATTTGAAGAATTTATGTCTGAGCAGCAGCAGAGAGTTGTACTTACTGAGAGAAAGTTGGCAGCAGTGCACTGATGTCACCAGCAAAGTAAAATTCCGCTGCTGCTGAGAAAATAGTCCCTCAACATGTGACAATTCATGCGATGCAAGGTTAGTTTTACTTCAGACATTATTCTGTCGACACAGAAATTTACATGGACAGTCTAGTGTAATAATAGATTTGCTTCGGGTGTTTTGTGGAGTGGGTAAGACTGTTTTTAGTGGCAGGCTAACTATGGCCATTGACATGCACTAGCCTAGCACCAGTGACCTCTGCAAATACAAGGACTGGATGGAATATTTTAAAAAGTGTCTCCACACTTCTCCAACACTCTGGCTCACTAGGAAATGAGACCCTATGTCCAAAATGTCCCTTTAAAGGGCCCATTACACTATTTTCTGATCTATGTTATAATGTTGTTTCCTCATCACAAACAGACCTGGTGTTATGTTTTGTTTCAGTCACCTTTTTAACACACAAACCCTGCATATTTACACTGAGTTCTTCTCTCAGACACTCTGTTCCACCTTATGATGTCATGTGGTAACACAGCAAGTGCTTCACTGTGGTTTTAAATCCCGCACAGCTTCACTTGAATCATTTGGATGATTTCAGCTCTGGAATTGTCTCTACTGAACTAAAGGTAAAGGCGGAACAGAGCATTTTGAGCTTTGGAGATGTAGACTGACTAATAATAAAGGATTAATCAAACATGTATGGATGAAACAAAACACAAGTCTGGGTACGTTTTTGATGAGGTAACAGGATTATAACATGGCTTAAACTCACAAGAGTAAATTTTGCGTAATATAGAATCTGATATATAAATTTAATACACACATTGAAAAAAAGTCTTGAGTTATGTTGGTGATCCTCTATCTAATTCAAAATGAGCTAGTATTTTTTATTTTTATGAACTATTAAAATACAAATTGGTTGTATTAACTTGGCAAATCAGAAGTAGTGTCTCCTCTCTTTTTGAAATGAGTTTGTACACGATGGCAGCAATGGCAGCTCTTGGCATTGCGCGGGATTCAGCACTTAATTATGACACTGCATCTCTCTCTGTGTAATCCACCTTCAGCGTGCATTTGTAGATTTTCTGTCTCCCTTGTGCGTTTTGTTTAATCAATGGAAAGAACATATTATTTTGACCTGATTGAAATCTCTCAAGTAGAAAGACGCCATTAGTGTGAACCAAGGAGCGGAGGAAAAGATCAGAAACAGAAGTACTTTCATTTGGCACCTCTGAGGTACAGCCACGTGTAACTCTGATACTCATGACGGGAGATTTGTTTACGATGATGTCTTAGTATGCACAAACCATAGACTGAATAAAGAAGTAGAGTAAGGGAGTGTGTCATCACCATAGCATTCAGCTCCAATGAAATGAAGCTCACGATGCTTGTGGATATAGGGGCGAATTTGGAGCCAGGTCCATATTAGGAATAGGAATTTATTTATGGGCATAATAATGAAATAAAAATACCAGGATCACGCAGAGTGGGTTAACACAAACATTTAACATCAAAATGAGGAGTGGGTGTCAAATTTTCAATGTAAAGTAAATTGGAAATGGAGTGTATGGAACATGGCGGCTGGCGGGTTAGCCGCGTCTATTTATATGTACAGTCTCTGGCACAACTCTATCCAACCTACATTACCAAACTGCAGGAACCCACACTCTGCAAACAGTGTTATACAATCTGACTTCTGTCTCTTGCCAAAACTACACAGAATAAACTTTCACACAACTTAATAAAGAATAATACAAATAAAATACTTGTTTTTAATAGAAAAATGTCATAACACATTTTATTTTGTATATGGTTCCCTGTCAGTGTTTCAGGTGACAGTGCCACTGTTTAGACCTAAAATGTAAAAACATAAAATGTTTGATCAAAGTGGGGCCAGGAAAAAGGTTGCACAATATAACACATCTAATGGAGATTGTAGTTTGTATTGTTGCTATGATCAAAGGCAAAGGCTTATTTAGCTAATGGAAAACTTTTAATACCTACCTCTGCAAACATGTTCTGAGATGTATTATTTTGTATTTTTGTATTAGTTGAGCAGTTCATATTTCAGACTTATCTCTTCTCTCTACATTAAAACTATCTGAATCCTGATTTTAAAGGTCACATTCAACATTTATATTCCAACTAGATGCTATTACGGTATCACGATATTTAAATTTCAAACTTGATTTCAGTACTAAGGAATAGACTAAGTATCGCAGACTGTATAAAGAAGTGGACTAAGGAAGGGTGGCGTCACCCATAGCATTCAGCTTCAGTCAAATGAATCTCACGAGGCTAGCCGTTATTGGAGTGAATTTGAGGCTGAATTCCATATTAGGAATAGAATTTTATTTACGGACAAAATAGCAAGATAAAAACACCAGGATCATGTAGAGTGGATTAATATGAACATTTTAAAACCAAAATGAGAAGGCTCACTGCAGCAGTTACATAGAAAGAGGTAACAATTTTTCAATGTAAAGTCAACTGGAAACAGAGTTGATGGACCCAAAAGCGCACCCATGTTCACTCCCTATTTGGAACATGGCGGCAATTTATATACAGTCTACAGTCTATACTCAGTACACACATAATAAAAATTTTCTGTCCTGTGAATGTGTCTTAGTCTACGTTCAGACCGCAGGGCTTATTGCTTAATTCAGATTTTTTTGTGAAATCAGATTTTTTTTTGCAAGGTCATTCACATTTCCAATTAAATGCGACTTGTATGTGATCTCCAGTGTGAACTTACTACACCCCAAAAGTGTCCCGCATGTGCACTGGAGAATACGATGACGTAATATGCAACGAGTGTGCTCAGTTTTTACGGAAGTAGTTTAAACATGGACGCAGCATTGAGCTCCTGCTAAAGCTGCTGTGGTACCGGAGCCAGAACATGTACAGGTTATTTGTTGTAAGGAGGAGATTGAGAACGAGAAGGAGGAGAAGGTTTTTGGCCATGGTGTTTTGTGGGGCAGTGGCAGCGACATCTGTAGAAAGGAACGTGTGAGTGCGGAGTCGCAGCCAAGAGAGGTGGGATTGCGATGTGCTCTGCTGCTTTACTCAGTTCATACACAATTTTTGTATGACGAGAAGAACATTTGTGTACATTTGTTAGCATGTAGGTGGGATGAATGCGATCTGGCCATTCAGACTGAAGTCGCATGTCAAAAGATCGGATATGTATCAGTTTTAGGAGCACATACCCAAGTGTCCTGGGTCGCATTTGAAAAAAAAAATCAGATCTGTGTCGTTCAGTCATTAAAAGATCAGATACAGATTGCATAGGGGTGAAAAAATCAGATTTGGATCACTTCAGGCTGCAGTCTGAACATGGCCTTATTTAGTATCGATACCTGCTCAATTCAGTATCTAGTTTCAATACTTATTTTAGTATCGATTAGTATCAGATTTTTGATACTTTTTACAATCCTAACTCCAACCTCTCCTCTGTCCACAGATGAATACAACCCTGAAGTCCCCAAACTGGAGAAGAGTGTGAGCGGCAGCAGTCCGTCCCGGGACCGCCTCCTCCTCACCATGGCGACGCTGCTGGTCTCCTCGCTGCTGTTGTCCTAGCGACCCATCGGAGGACAGTGGACCCGCCCGCTTCGTCCTGTGGGAGCTTTGCCCTCACCGCAAAGCCCCAAAAAACCCCGAACTGAAAACTTGAACTTGATTTACTAAACTTTCAAAAAGGAGAGGCCTTTTTTGCTATCATTCTCATTGTGTTTATGGATTCATTTTTCACAGCATCATAACCACATAACCATAACCACAAACACAATCGGACTGGCGCAGATTGTCTAAGAGTTGGATCTACGTTGGCTACACATTTTCGTGGCATGAAGAAACATAGAGAAAATGTGTTTTTAAAAATGACTTGGATCTCTTTCAGCGTTGGACTTTTTGATGGATTATAATACACTTTTGGAGCACGCTGGATATTGGAAATGTCCCATCTTATGAAGGTTACCGCGGATACTCCTACAATCTGTCACTGTTGAGAACTCCTGCCATTGTCCTGGACACTGAAGAATGTTTTTAGTCGGCTGTGAAGGGCCAATTTAGTTACAAGAGGAGAAGGAGAAATGGAGTTTGAGAGGCTCCTCTTGCCTTTTTGACAAAACGTTAAACTAATCTGGCTGTTATATGCAGATGTAAAAGTTAAAGAAAGGATTCCTGGGTGCTGTTTGCTGATGCTAGCCTTCTCTCTGCATTTCCTGCCTTCACATTAAAAGATAAACAGACCTGGGCGAGTCATTTGCAGTAGAAATGTTCCCTTCGTGCAGCACTTGGACTACAGCTAATTTCCAAACACTCAAGTTCCTCTTTTTAGTCCCCAGACAACCCCGGTGTCCACTCTTCTCCGCTCTCCATCCAATCAGCGCTGAAGGTCATCACCATGGCAACGACCCCACACAGTCGCCCCGAGCGGCAGGTGCCTGAGGAGAAATTATTAGAGCTTTGAGTTTCGAAGTTACGCTGCCGCCATTTTGGTTTTGAAAAAGGAAAAAAAAAAAAAAAAAAAAACACTTACAAAAAAAATAAATACACGTGTGAATGTGCATTGATCACTTTTTTATCTTGTAATACAAGACTTAAGCTGGCATTAATCAAAACACTGATGTGTGCTTTTGAATTCAGTTATTTAAAGATTTTATTTTCATATTATTTATGTATTTATTTGTGTACATTTGTAGGTGTTCGCTGAAGCTATTGTGCCATTTTCTTTTATTTGAACTGGATCTACAGCTTGTGTAGATACATCAGAGGTACTTTAGGTGGAGGAGAGGAGGTTTGGTTCAATCAGGGCCATTGAAAGACAGAAGTGAGTCACTTTCATCAACCAAGATTGGACAGATTACAACTTCTGCGGCATAGTTACAACATCATACCCACAAAATTAGAAATACCTATGTGACCCTTTGGATTGTTATGAATTATTCTTTTGTAGCCCTCCAAATTTGAGATAAGTCGGATGATTTTTTTATGTGTGGAACAGACAAACAAACAAACCAACCAACAGAAAGACACAGACAGACCTTCCTTGCATTAATAGATATTGTACAGAGATTATTTTAATGTAAATGCCCAAGTTGGTCTTTACGTTGACATCACGACTCACTAAATTTTGAGACACTACTCCTTCTTTCAATGACTGTGTTTGTGACCATTTTGGAAATAAATATAAAAATATCTGACCAAGAGATTGTGACCCTAAATATCACAAATATTGTAATGGTCAGACTCTGATTTTTGTTTATTTTTATACAAGGATAATTCTTTGTTTGATTCACTCTTTTATACCAGTTCACTTTAGAATCATAATTTATTTTACATTTATTTTATCAATGCTTGTACTGTCATATCACACCAAGCCTTCACACGACGTCACAGTCGCTTGGTCTTTACGTTTCGGTGGCTCACCTGGTTGCCGTGGGGTTACCGTGGTGACCTCCTCTTGTACCTGAGCAAAGAGATTGTTTTGAGCATGTCCTAAACCAGCAGTGAGACCTGTGAAGACGGAGGAGCAGCCTTCTTCTAACTGCTCTGACCAAAACCTGCTTTGTAATGTATATTTATAACATGAGCGGAGAGCATTGTGAGTGAGTGGTTTATAGAGTCTAGAGGTGGGTGATGTATAGTCTATGAAAATATACTTGATTTGGGTGAGAAAAATGTATTGTGATCAGTTCTTATATTTTGTCATTTATCGTCATAGTGTTTTCCATTAACAGACAAGACTACGGTGGCCACTCAAGGTCTAAAAACTAACTGAGGAAAAAAAATAGCAAAACAAATGATACTTTAGGCTTGTAGTGTTATCATAAACATATAGAATTATCACTTTTTCATCTATAATCAATGTTTTTTTTTGGTTCAGTAGAAGCAATAAGTGACATTTATACACCAAAATATTGAATCAAATAAGTTGATTCAAATGTGGAGCGTTTATGCCGCCATCGTCTTAGTATAAACCATAGACCAGGGTTCTTCAACCTGTAGCTTGAGAGCTACCTGTAGCTCTCCACCCTCTTCCCAGCAGCTCACCAAGGATTTCCGAATTATACCATTGTGTTGAATAACAAAAATGTGATTAAAACATACTCATAACCATTTTAAATATATAATATTGAAGCCCAACTTTGTGCACTAATAAATGGACAGTGTTTTATGTTTTGTAGGCATCTAACTGTATCCAAAAGTTTGCCCTCTTTCTTATAATTGTCTCAGTTTCGCTAAAATGAGTAGCTCTCTGGCAGTTTTGTTTTGTAAAAGTAGCTCACTGGAGGAAAAAGGTTGGAGACCCTTCCATAGACTGTATATCGAAATGGACATAGTTCCAAATAGGAAGTGAGCATGGAGGCACTTCTGGGTCCATCGACTCGGCCTCAATTGACTTTACATTGAAATATTTTCACCCCCTCTTTGTAACTGCTGCTGAGCCTCGTTATTTTGGTCTTAAAATGTTTGTATTAACCCGCTCTACATGATCTACATGTTGTTTTAATTTTCCTGTCTTGTCCATAATTGAATTCCTATAACTGCTAGCCTCGTGAGCTTCATTTGACTGGAGCTGAACGCTATGGGTGACACACTCGCTTCGTCCACTTCTTTATACAGTCTGTGGTGTAAACATTGGAAACACTGCTGTCATATTGTTCTAATCACAATTAAGTGTGAACCCTGAGAAGCAGCAGCTCTTAAAGACAATATAAAGGCACTAACTGTATGAAGTTTGTTATGAATTGAAATTGTGATATGACTTCAGGAAAATTGTGAAATCATTTTTAATTATTTTTTTGGCATATCACCCACTCTTAATTTTAACATAATGCCAAAATGCATTGTTATGTATATCATCAATAACACAAAAATGGTCCAAAAGCTGAAAAAATAACTGATTTAAAAATAAAAATATTAAAATTTATATCCCATGTTGATATATCCCAAGATGATAATTCTTCCACCACATATTTGAAAAACATCCAATACATATTGATCCACATCCACACACTTGGACACAGTAACTCACTGGGGATGTAGCGATATCCAAATCTTTTGGTACAATATTATCACGATATGCATCTCACGGTACGATATTTATTGCGATATTTTGGAGAGGCTAATATAATCATAGATGGGATACTTTTTTGCTTTTAAAATTCCTTGACAAGATTTTGGTGTGAATTATTTCCATCATAATCCCAAGAATTCAAGTAAAAACATATCTCTTCACATTGTCCCGCACTGAAATGAATTGTGGGATATGTAGTTTCCGATATTCATAAGCTGTTACTGTAATAAATCAATATATTTAATCAAAGGAACTTGTGATTCGATATACTGTGACAGCCCACGGTATTATTATGAGACTTTTGAGGATACAATATTACAATATTTTGGTTATTGTTACATCCCTATAGCTCACACATCAGCAAAAAATACATTCTAAATAAGTAGCAATAAAAATAAACTGGTGTCAAATGGGGTATAATTATATAACTGTGTATGTACAAGTAAAAATATAGAAAATATCTCAGTTAGTTATATACAAGAGGTCTTAAGGAAAACAGTGCAAAGATGTTATGATGATTGACAGGACATGGGGTTATCTGTCACATAAGGGTGAGTTTCTTTCTGATGCAAAGCAAATACCATCTGATTACTTTTATCGGGAGAATAAAAATATTGATATCTTTCTGTTACTCAATATCGCCCACCCCTAGACCCTGTGTGTGTGTCTGCGCGTGTGCGTGTGAGTGATAAAGATGCGTGTGCACTTCTGAATGAATGTAGTCCGTGTTTTTTGGCGCTTTTCAAGTCCGTGGCATTTAGAACAGTTGTATCCACTAAGAAGTCGTGTGTAGGATCTGAATATGCAACAGCGTGTGTGAGAGGAAGAGAGAGTGGTCTTTATCAATGTTAGTTTGATTTTTGGGGGGGGTATTTGGGGTACGGGGAAAGGGGTGGGGGTTACTAAAAGCATTTACTAATGTTAAAGACAACCACCAGACATGTGTTTACCTTTGACAAGAATGAAAACAAGCTGTACATTGAATCAGTAAAATGATGCCAATTAAATCTTTTTAGCAAATCTTGTCTTGTGGATTCTTTTCATAAGTTACAGTTACAGTGGTTTTAATCTGGTTAAAGTGACAGGTTCAACTACTCATTCTACTAAAATACAGTCAAGATCATTATATTTAAATTTTTTTGCTAAATCATTCACACTTGTTTTACCAGTTTGGCAATTTTTTTAGGTTTCAAAATTTACTTTTTGGTAAAAAATCTGTTACCAAACAAAATCTAACGTGCACAGAAATTATTATCTGACAAATACAAATATAAGAAAACACATGTATTAAGAATTTATTGGATTAATGTTGAAAGTATCAGAAAAAAAGGTGTTTCTTATGTGTAAATTGTGACAGACTTTTGGATAAAATTCTCCTGTGTTCTCTCTGCTTCCTGTAATTTTCAATATATTTTTCAAATTTCCTTCACAAATTGCTTCTTGATTGATGTAAAACTAACATTTACATTTACAACACTTATAATCCCACGAAGTTAAG